TCAGCTGCCTCCTGCACATCTCCTACTGGGGATGTGCCCGCAACCCAGGTACATGCCCTTGACCGGAATCGAACCCGGGACCCCTCAGTCCACAAGCCGACGCTCTATCCACTGAGCCAAACCGGTTTCGGCACTAAAATCAATTTTTAAAAAAAAGAATCCACAGGGTGCAGGATACAGGTCTTGAATGGTACCAGGCTGGAGGTCATTGGCCACAGAGGAGCCACAACTATGAAACACAACAGTGAGAAATGGAGCGATGAACTTTGTGTGTATCTAGCCAACCATTTTGTGGTTTTTGTGAATAAAAGCTTATTTCTACATCTGGTCAGGGCTGCAGTTCAGTCCTATCTACGGCGGGGTGAGGTAACTGCAGTCGCTGCCCAGCTAATAAAGGCCCCTAAATTCTACCCTTTGGCTCTGGTGGTTGTCTCTTACGGGTTGCCCCATAACAATCTTAAGTTGTTCTGTCTTTAATGTTTTGGGGGCTGCTGTGGGTCCCCACCTGCAACTCCATGAAGGATGCTGCTCCCGCTCCCAGGATGCTGCCTCTTACACATAGTCAAACGCAAAAAGTTGAATGGGGAGAAAACTTTAGCTGGCACAAATGGCCTTAATTGGGTCTTTCTGCTCCACTTCCCAGACCAGGGTGATATAAGCCATGTATCCTCTGGTTAGGGAGGACAGTATAATCCATTTGCTTTTTCCCCTTTTATTCTTCACATCATACACACATGACAATGTGAATGTATATGATTTTTTTTCAAAGGTTGTTGGTTGGGGAAGATAAGGTCTTGTGATTCACAAGCTGGCTGCAAGACACCCACACAGATTGACCTTGCGTAATTTTCTTGTCTCATTTTCCACTTCCCACTTGCCCAGGAAATGACCTAGCATCTTACTAGCCTGCCTCATGTGGACAACAGAACTATCTTGCTGGATAAGCCTGCTGCTTCACTAACAAGGGGCTCAGAGACATGGACTAAAATAATGTGCATCACCAGTGGTGTTAACACTGATTATCCACTGAGCCAAACCAGTTAGGGCAGGTTGTGGGTTATTTAAAAAAAACCATTTTTTTTTAACTTTTAACATATGAAGGATTTCTCATTTGAATTGTCCTAAATTGAGCTTATGAAATCTCCATAATATATTATTCCATTGTTATGCCAATTTTCTAAGAGCTCAGGGCTTTTTCAGCTGCTAGGATTCAGATAAATTCAAAGCTCAAACTTATTACAACATTGCAAAAACAATAACAGGAGATGAAAATAACATTCCTCACACTGTGCTTACTCTTCCACAAATCAATAACTGAGCTTGGTATACCAATTGCCTATTACTGCCATAACAAATTACAAAAAGATAGTGTGGTTTAAAGCAACAACAATCATTTATTTTTCTCCTGAAACCTGGGCAGAAATGCAGTGAGGATGGCCCATCTTTGCTCTTTGCTGCATCTGAGATGGCTCATTGTCAGCTGGAGAATTTGCTTTCATGTTGCCTCACTTACATGGTTGGCAAGTTGTTTCTGCTGGCAGATGAAAGAGCAGCCAGGGGAGTGAGCCAGTGATTTCATGTCCTCTTCGTGTGGATTCGATGGACAACTTGGGCTTCCTCACCACATGGTGGGCAAGGGCCAAGGGCACATACTCCAGAGAGCATGGAGGCATCCTCCCTATCTAACTTTAGAAGTCACAGCCATCCATTATTTGCCAAAGCAGTCACAAAGTCCATGGAATTGCAAGGCAGCAGACACAGAACCTATAACTCAACAAAAGGAAAAGCAAGCTCAGATTATAAGAATAGGTGGGATAGAAGAAACTGTTATAGCCATCTTTTGAAAATACAATCTACCATAGTAACAAATCATGGTAAATTAAGAAGAGAAAGTAAAATATAAAAAAAAAAAAGCTATGCCATAGACTTGAAAGCATATTTCTAATCCTTTGTACAATATCTGCAAATATATTCCTTTCAGATTGTTCTCTTATATCTTTAATTTGTTCCTCATACTTCATCTTTCGGACATTTATTTTTCTCTCTTTTTCTTACTGTGATATTTTTCCCTGATCACATTGCTCTTCTGTTAGTTTAATTTCCATCTCCAATTGCTCAGCATAGATTTTCTTCAGCTTTTCACCTGTGTCCTTGTATATGGCATCAGAAAAGTGGGCCCCTCCGTTCTTCTGCACCATTTCCTCTATCAGCTCCACCAGCTCCTGCAGTTGAGCTTCCTTCTCAGCCTCATCTGCCCTTTCCTTGTTATTGAAGGCACAGCAGCGATTCCCACACTCCTTGATGATACTTTGCAGTTTTACGTCTGATGATGCTACAAACTCAGGCAATGTCTGATCACCCAAATCATCTTTGCGAGTGAACAAGACGATCATGTGATTCATGGCTGCCTCCCCAAAGATGGCCTTGATCAATGCAACTGTTTTCTGAACCTCCTCCCGGTAGCGGCCCAACTGTAGTACCAGGATGATGGCATGAGGCCCAGGGTAGGAGAAGCAGAGACACCTGCTGATTTCCTCACACGTGGTCTGCAATTTCTCCTTGGTGTCAAACATCCTTGGGGTGTCCACGACAAGAAGTTTCCTCCCCTTCCAATCTCTCTCTGCTTTCTGACATTTCTTGGTAACAGCATGGGCAGAAATTTTAGAAACAAATTCTCTTCT